GCTGGAGCTGCGCAGATCTAAAGCGAGGAGCCAGGAGCTTCTTTTGGGTCTCCTAAGAGGGTGCAGGGGCCCAAGGACTTGGACCATCTTCCACTGTTTTCCCAGGCCATAGCAGAGAGCTGGAAGGGAAGTGGAGCAGCCAGGACTCGAAGCAGTGCCATATGGGATGCCGGCACTGCAGGTGGTGGCTTTCCCCGCTATGCCACAGCACTGGCCCTAAGGATGTTTTAATTTGAAGTGTTGGAGATATTCTAGTTATCTTTCCATACTGATTCATGGTCTAGTTTGACTGTGGTCAGAGAACATACTTTGTATGATTTCTTTTGGGCTGCTCCACTTCCAGTCCAACTCGCTGCTGGTGTGCCTGGGATAGCAGCAGAGGATGGTACAAGTGCTTTGGTGTCCTGTTACCCATGTGTGAGACCCGGAGGAGGCTCCCTGGCTCCTGGCTTCAGACTGGACCAGCTCCACAATGTTGCAGCCATTTGAGGAATGGACCAGTGGATAGAGGATCTTTGTCTCTGTCTCTCTCTTTCTCTCTCTCAATTCTGCCTTTTCAAATAAATAAATAAATCTTTAAAAAAGAGAAATGTATTTTATTACCAAGGATTTAGTCTATTTTGGTGAAATTTCTTTATGAACTTGAGAATTCTGTTCTATTGTTACTGAGTTAAGTGGCCTATAAATTTTGATTAGATCAAGTTGGTTGATGACACTTTTCTGTGTCCTTGCAGATCTCTCTACTTGGTTCATTGATTACTGAGAAAGATGTGTTGAAGTCTCCAAGAGTATTTGAGGATTTTTCTGTTTGCCCTTTCCGCCCTAACAGTGTTTGTTTCATATATGTGGAACCTTTGCTGCTAGGTGCATCCACGTTTAAGATTACTATTTCTATGAATTCATTGCTTGTAATAATGGTATATCCCTTTTTATCCTTGGTAATTTTCTTTGGTTTGTAGTTACTTTGATAATATAACTGATTTAGAGTTCTTTAATTAGTGTTAATATATTACATCTTATTCTATCCTTTTATTTTTAGCTTACCTTTATGATTACAGTTAAGTAGTTTTCTTATAGACAGCGTTAATGATCTTTTAGTTGGTGTTTTTAAACTAATGTAATTGAAGTTATATAAAGATAAAGGTTTAGTATTATTTATTTCTCTTTGTTACATCTACTTTTTGTTCCTTTTTCTCATTTCCTTCTTTTGGATTTGAATAAATTTTTTGCATTCAGTTTTTTTTTTTAATTTTTTTTTTTTTACAGACAGAGTGGACAGTGAGAGAGAGAGAGACAGAGAGAAAGGTCGTCCTTTTTGCCGTTGGTTCACCCTCCAGTGGCCGCCGCGGCTGGTGCGCTGCGGCCTGCGCACCACGCTGATCCGATGGCAGGAGCCAGGTGCTTCTCCTGGTCTCCCATGGGGTACAGGGCCCAAGCACTTGAGCCATCCTCCACTGCACTCCCTGGCCACAGCAGAGAGCTGGCCTGGAAGAGGGGCAACCGGGACTAGAACCCGGTGTGCCGGCATCGCTAGGTGGAGGATTAGCCTAGTGAGCTGCGGCGCCGGCCTGCATTCAGCTTTAAATTATCAATTGATATTTTTATTCTTTCTTTGTATAACATCAATTATTGAAGAGGTAATTCCTTCAATTGAATGGTCTTGGCACCCCTAATATCAATTAACTATAGGTATATGAAATTCTTTCTATACTCTCAGTTCTATTCCATTAATGTACATGTCTGTTCTCATACTGAGACTATAATGTTTTGATTACTGTAGTTTCGTAGAAAGTTTTTTTTTTTTTTTTTTTTTTACAGGCAAAGTGGACAGTGAGAGAGACAGACAGAGAGAAAGGTCTTCCTTTTGCCGTTGGTTCACCCTCCAATGGCCGCTGTGGCCGGCACGCCGTGCTGATCCGAAGCCAGGAGCCAGGTGCTTCTCCTGGTCTCCTGTGTAGGTGCAGGGCCCAAGGACTTGGGCCATCCTCCACTGCACTCCCGGGCCACAGCAGAGAGCTGGACTGGAAGAGGAGCAACCGGGACAGAATCCGGCGCCCCGACCAGGACTAGAACCTGGTGTGCCAGTGCCGCAGGCGGAGGATTAGCCTAGTGAGCTGCAGCGCCGGCCATCGTAGAAAGTTTTAAAACTAGGAAATATGAATTGTCCAATTTGTTCTTTTTCAACATTGTTGGTATGGGCTGCATGTTTGTGTTCTTCCAAATTCCTTTGTTGAAACCTATCCCCAGTGTAATAGTGCTTGCTGAGCAGGCATTTTGGGAATGATAGGCAGAATTCTCATGAATGAGATTGCTGCCTTTATGGAAGACACCCTTAAGAGATCCCTTGCTCTTTCTGCCAATGTGAGGATACAGTAAGATGACAGCCGGCTAGTTGTGACCAGGAAGCAGGCCCTCATCAGACACTAAATCTGCTGGTGCCTTGATCTTGGACTTCACAACTTCTAGAACTATTGGAAATAAGGTTCTGTCATTTATGAGCTACTCAAATTATGGTGTTTTTGTTACAGAAACACAAATGGATGAGAACAATTCTTTGGGCTATTCAGGGTCCCCTGCAATTCCATTTAAATTTTAAGAGCTCCATTTCTGCAAAAAATAAAAATAAAAATAAAAAATAAAAAGCATTGTTATTTTGATAGTGATTGCATTTAATCTATAGATTGCTTTATAGCTACCTTAACAATATTAAGACATCTAGTCCGTAAGCATTGGATGTCTTTCTGGTTATTTTGGTTTTTAATTTCTTTCAGCAATACTTTATAGTTTTCAGCATGCAAATCTTGTACTTCCATTGTTAAATTTATCCATACCTATATTATTCTTGTTGATATTATAAATGGAATATTTTTCTTAATTTATTTTCTAGATTTTTTATTACTAACACAGAGAAAGACAACTAATTTTTGTTTGTTGACCATGTATCTTGGAACTTTGCTGAATTCTATTACTAGCTCTAAATTGTTCTCTGTGTATATATGAATTCTTCAGAATTTTTTTATGTAAGTTTATTTGTAAATAGAGATTGTTTTACTTCTTCCTTTTTAATTTGATTGTCTTTTATTTCTCTTTTGTTTCTTTGCCTAATTGCTATGGCTAGAATTAACAGTACTAGTAAATAATTTATAGTGTTGACTAGTAATGATGTGGGCAGTCTTGTATTATTCTTGATCTTAAAGGAAAACTTCAGTCTTTTACTATTGTGATATTAGCTATTTTTCATGTTGAGGAAGTGCATATTTTTAATATGCATATTGAAACATATTTTCTTTCAGTGTACAGAGTTAATTATTATCTACATCTTATCCCCTCTTGAATAAGACCTGAACTTTAGAATGGAATTACTTTTGTAAGTTACTTTGCAGATAGAATCTCTTAATTCTCAACAACTTTGCAAGGCAGGTGGTATCTATTATTTCAGGCTTATTGAAGAAGATAATAAGACTTAGAGAAGCTCTCCCAGGTCACTAGTAGGTCAGTCCAAGATTTCAAAATAATTGTGACCCTGAGGCTCAGGGTGTTTCTTTCATATCTCACTTCTCTTGAGTTGGAAAATCTTTCAGATGCAGTGAAATAACACTAACTACTCTGTGTTACCAGGTGTCATTTCCTTCTAGGGACAATTACTCCTCTTTCTTAAAAGAAAATCATTATACAGGAGTTCTTAATTCTTTGCTCAAGGAGGAAGGCCTGAAAAGTAGACTTATTTTTCTGCAAAGTGGCCCTTCTAGGAAGAAGTAGGCAGCTAGGTTCCTCTGATGAAGTAGGATTTTCTATAGAATTTTGACACTGATTATTAGAAATAGTGGCGTTACAATAATTTAGGAGGACATTTTAACTCTTTGACATTATTTCTCTTCTAGGTTTAGCAGCAGTTTCAGAGGTTTTTTTTTTTTTAAGATTTATTCATTTATTTGAAAGACAGGGTGACAGAGAAGAACAGATGGAGAAGGGATCTTCCATTTACTGGTTTACTCCCTGAATGCCTGCCACATCCAGGGCTGGGCCAGTCCAAAGCCTGGAGCCAGAAACTCCATACAGGTCTCCCCCATGAGAGACCCAAATACTTGGGCCACCTTCCACTGCCTTTCCATGCACATTAGCAGGAAGCTGGATCAGAAGCAGAGCAGCTGGGACTTGAACTGGCACTCACATGAGATGTCGGTATTGCAGTCAGCAGCTTAACCTGCCATACAGCAACGTCAGCCCCTATTATCAGAGTATGGACCTCATCAATAGGACCTTTCTAGATCATCTTCCCTTTAAATCCTGTGTGTGTAGCTTGTGAATTACGAGGACAATGTGATAAAGCCATGTGTTTGTGTTTGTGTTAGATGAGATAACTTCTGTATGTGTGTTTTGTCATTTAGATCATGCAGTTCCAGTAATCTTGTTCCTAATTCACCCAAGTGCTCTTTCTGTTCCCTTTGTGAATTAATTATATATCACTTATTTTTCCATTCAGTCAGCAAACACTGGGCACACCTACTCTTCATTGTGTTAGTCTCTCTTAATATGAAATAATACGTGTCCCTGCCCTCATGGTAAATTGGAGGCAACAGATTTACTAATCACTTTAATACTATATAACAAATAACTCCAATAGAAGTATGCATAGGATATAATGGTGAGCTGACAAGCAGGCAGAATCATATTAGGAGAGTGAAGAAAGGCTGCTTGTGCGGAGATGAATCTAGAGCTAAATTTTGAAGAGTAAAGTGAAACCCATGAAGTTAGGCACTGAGTGGACATTGGATGAATGAGTCAGAATTACATGAACCTTGGAAATGGACATTTGCAGCAAAGGTAGAAAGAAAGGCATGAAATATGTGTGGCATATTCAGGGGTTCTTGGAGTTGAGAATGGATTAAGGAAAGGGTACACTTGTAGGGGAGTGGGAGGAGTTAAATAGATATCTATCATTCTGTCTTCACCCTTTTGGATGAGATCTCAGTTTGTCCTGTTTTCCCCTTTCCCTGCAGTCTACCCTTCACTGGAGTCTGATGAGGACGACCCTGCTTTGAAATCTCGACCCAAGAAAAAGAAGAATTCAGATGATGCTCCCTGGAGTCCTAAAGGTGATCCAGTCTCTTAAACTTTGTAGGGGGTGGTCTGGAGAAAATATAGGCTGGGGCAGGAGGGATATTTAATCTAAGAATACCTAATTCAGTCACTCATTTGTTTATTCTGCAAGCATTTGTGGTATTCAGGTACCATGTTAGGTGCCGGAGCTAAAATCCTCAGTAAAACATGGAGTTTGTATGATCAGTGCAGCAAAACCAGAAGTAATGGAGCATTGCTTTTGATATTACATGGTTTGAGATGAAAGGAAGAAAGAACTCAGATTTCACAGAGCAGTCTAAGGCTTCTGCAAACATTGTGATGTCATCATCCCAGCCCTTTAGTTATTTTATTGTCCAAGAGGGAAATTTTGCTGACTCTGCAAAGCCCAAAGCTGTCTCCTATATTGAGAAACCATCCCTTAGGGAGGAAGGAAGAATGATAATTGAGTTGGACATAGGAATTAGAGTGATCACAGAATTTTCTTTATCTTGTGGACTAAGTTTCACATTGGAGGGTCTATCAGCAAGCTTTTGCTGCTCAATAAATGTAGTAACTTAAAGTACCCCAATGTAGTAGCTTAAATGTACCCCAAATGTAGTAGCTTAAAGTAGCAATAGTTGGTCATGTCTCATGATTTTATAGGTTGGCTGAGTTCTTCCAGTTTGGGCCAGCTAGAGTAGGAGCTGGATATTCTAAAAGTATCTTCCTTGGGGTCCTAACTTAGATGGCCAGGGCCTGTTTCCACATAGTCTTTCAAAAAATGTCCAATCTTTTTCACAAAGTAGGAGCAAGGTTTCCAGCAGCAAGAGAGGAAAAACCTAAATGTGCAAATCCTTTTCAAGCCTCTACTTATGTCTGCTACCGTTCCGTTGGCCAAAAGCAAATTACACAGCCAAGCTTTGGTTCCAAGGGTGGGAAGTAGATTGCACCTCTTGAGAGGACAGCTGCAAAGTCACATTGCAAAGGAGGAATGCACACAATGAAATATCTGCTATAGAGGGTGCTGGGATCTGTGAATGCCTGTTGTTCCCTCTCAGCCATATTTGGCCTTTCTGGTGTTTGCCGAGGGTTGATGGAGTGGGGCAGCAGGATATTCCTGGGAAGGGCTCTCTTAGTGAGTCAATCAGCAAATGTTTCTTTCTTTTTTTTTTAATTTTAGACCCATTTTCTGACTTTTTTTCTCCTGTAAGTTTTACCTGTATTTTCTCCTCTATCAAAGTAAATTTTTCTCATTAGTATAATGGAAAATAAGGAAAGGGCCGGCGCCGCAGCTCACTAGGCTAATCCTCCGCCTAGCGGCGCCGGCACACCGGGTTCTAGTCCCGGTCGGGGCACCGGATTCTGTCCCGGTTGCCCCTCTTCCAGGCCAGCCCTCTGCTGTGGCCAGGGAGTGCAGTGGAGGATGGCCCAGGTGCTTGGGCCCTGCACCCCATGGGAGACCAGGAAAAGCACCTGGCTCCTGGCTCCTGCCATCGGATCAGCGCGGTGCGCCGGCCGCAGCGCGCCGGCCGCGGCGGCCATTGGAGGGTGAACCAACGGCAAAGGAAGACCTTTCTCTCTGTCTCTCTCTCTCTCACTGTCCACTCTGCCTGTCAAAAAAAAAAATAAGGAAAAATACTGAAAATAGAGGAAGTTATAAAGAAGATACTGCCCATGATTCTGCTATCTAGAATTAACCACTGTTAAAATTTTGACATATTTTCTTTTAGTATTTGTTTTCTCTGCATTTTTCCTTTTTGGTGTTTGAAATCACACTGTGTATACAGTTGTGTATCCTACTTTTTCATTTTGTTTTCTGCCTTTTAATCAAAGTAGAATGTATAGCATATCAAATAGTACAAAAAAGAGTTTAAGATTAAATGCAAAGTTCTTCTGCACCTGCTTTTCCTACCTTCAATCCTGTGTCTAAACAGCAACCTCATAGTGTTCATTTTCCTAGTAAATGCCTTCAGAATTAAAGGTGATAAAGTAGTTTATATCCTCATTTCCCTATTTATCAACTCTATTTCTTCTTTCACTAATTTCTGTCAGTCTCTCTTGATTACCTACTTTGTAAGATACGCATATCACTGCCCCTGTTCTTACCCTCCTCCAATCTTCTGTGATCCACACTTTATGTTTAAACCATCCAAGTTGTTACTGTATACATTGTCTTGTGATTAACATTCCACATCTACTAGAAATTGACTTTAAAAATTGAACACTAATAAATATACCTGGTCTTTTAATATTATATTGTAAGCATGTTCATAAAGATTTATTCATTTTGAAAGAGTTATTGAGAGAGGGAGAGACAGAGAGAGAGAGCTCCCATCCACTGGTTCACTCCCCAGATGTCCACAACGGCTGACACTGGGTCAGGCCAAAGCTGGGAGCTTTTATCTTCCACTGCTTTTCCCAAGCCATTAGCAGGGAGCTGGGTCTGAAGTGGAGCAGCCGGGACACAAACCTGCACCCATATGGTATGTGGGCATTGCAGGCAGTGTCTTTACTTGGTATACTATAGTGCTGGCCCCATAAACATGTTCTTAAGCCATGGGTTATAAATAAAATATTTGAATAGAAATAAAATAGCTATTCCATGGATAGTCCCAATTTACTTAGCTTCTCCTTTAATGCTATAGTCAAGTTTTCATAGTTAGTGATAACATTTGGAATGGACATCTTTGTACATAAATGTATTTCTGTGATTATTTACTTCAGATAAATCCCCATGGAACCTTAGAAGGACCAAAGTATATGAGGATAAAACTGTGCAGAGTCTCCTTCACAACCCTGTTCCATAGCTTTCCAGTTCCTTACTTGGAGTCAACTGCTGTTACAGTTTCTTATTTATCTTGTCAGAGATCATTTATGTATAAATAAGCAAATATGTGTATATGTTTTCTTTATTTTTTTACTCAAATGGAAACATACTTTATACACTGTTACATGCTTTGCTTTACTCAATAATAGATCTTAGAGATGTGTTTACACTGCTACAAGCAATGCATGAGAGTGCTTGTTTCCCTACACGCTTGCCAACACAGTTTGTTAATATGAATGTTTTTAAAGCTCTTGATACTAATTGCCAAATTGCTTTTCAGAAAAGTTGTACCAATTTACACTCCCACCAGCCATGTGTGAGAATGCTTCTTTATGAAATCCTTGTAGGCCTTGAGGAATAGTGTTTGCCTATGAATAGCAGGAACCTCTCAAGCATCCTTAGTGAGTGCTTATTCCCTCAGGATCACAAGATAATTACTTTACCTCCAGCACTGAATCTGGGTTGCAGTCAGGAGAAAAGGGAAAAGCAAAAGGAAAAAGGAAATGGCCTGCTAAGCCTCACCTCCTCCAAGGAGTTTTAAGGTCTAATTTTTAAAAATTTGTTTGAAAGACAGTTCCCATCTACTGGTTCACCTTTCAAATGCCTGCATTAGTCATCCCTGGGACCAAAACTTGGAGTTGAGAATTTAATTCAGGTCTCCCATGAGTAGCAGGAACGCAGCTACTTGAGCCATCATTGCTCCTCCTAGAATCTGCATTACCAGAAAGCTGGAATCACGAGCCAGAGCCAGGTGTTAAACCCAAGCATTCCAGTGTGGATAGTTGGACTTCCTATCATATTCTATGGTAAACACCTGTTCCCCTCTACTTTTGAACATCTCTTTGGCTGAAGTTATGTCAAGGCCAAGACTACATGTCACAGGAGCCAGGAAGTGTAGTTTTTTATCTAGGCATATTGCTGTCCCACAAAATCAGAGTTTTTATTACTAAACAGAAAAGGGAGAAAGATACTTGGTTGCAAATGTGGAATGTCTACCTTGATCTTTGGTAATTCATAAGCAAACAAGTCTCATTGGTTTAATTTACATTTTTGATTAATCATTGCCTATGTTTTTGTACATTACAATTTCTTATTTTGGAAATTTTGATTCTATCCTTTGCCCATTTATCCCTGTGGGTCTTCAAGCATTTTAAATTGCCCTTTCTATTTAGATAGTAAAGAAATAGCTAATAGCTATCCTTTGCCTTACACACACACACACACACACACACACATACACATACACAGTTATGCCTCAAAATTTCAACTTGATTAACACAAAGTGTAAAATATTATATTGGAAAATACATTTTAATGCACCCAATTTATCAAATATCATAGCTTAACAACACTATAGAATATCATGATCCTGTGGCCAATTGGAAGCTGTGGCTCCCTGCTGATGACTAACATTATAAGAGAGTGTTACATGGTAGGGTGTAAGCCCTAGCCCAGGGAAAAGATCAAAAATCAGAATTCAAAGTACTGTTTCTACTGAATGTATCATTGTCATACCATTGTAAAGTATACAGTGTTTAACCGTTATAAATCAGGGACTGTATATACACACACACAAATACACATACTTTTTAAAGATATAGTTTGCTGGGGCTGGCATTGTGGTGTTGTGGGTAAAGCATGGGGAAAAGCAGTGGAAGATAGCTCAAGTGCTTGGGAGACCGAGGCAAAGCCCTTGCTATTGCAGCCATCTGAGAAGTGAAACAGCAGATGGAAAATATTTGTCTGTCTCTGTCTTTCCCTCTCAGTAACTGTGACTTTCAAATAAATAAATAAATCTTTTTTAAAAAAAATACAATTTGCTTATAGTAATTTCCCTCATGAATGAAAAACCTGGATATTTCTATATCAAATGTTGTTTTTTTCCATTGTTTCCCTGGTCAGAGAACAGATAATTAGCACTCATGCATTTAAAAAACAAAAAAAATAATTATTTATTTGAAAGGTAGAGTTACAAGAAAGGGATAGTTAGGGAGAAAAAGGGCTCTTCCATCTGCCAGTTCACTCCCCAATTGGCCAAAATAGCCGGGGTTGGGCCAGGTGCAAGCCAGGAGCCCAGAACTCTGTCTGACTCTCCCACATGGGTGGCAGTGACCCAAGTACTGGGGCCATCTTCCTCTGTTTTTACAGGTGTATTAGCAGGGAGCTGGATTAAAAGTGGAGCAACTGGGACTTGAACCAGTACTTATA